TCATTTGTTTTCTTGATCTTAGCCAGTCTGACTGGGGTAAGGTGAAATCTTAAAGTGGTTTTAATTTGCATTTCCTTGATTATTAGTGATGTTGAACATCTTTTAAGATGTTTCATATCCGTCTTTACTTCTTCTTTTGAAAACGTTCTGTTCAGCTCCTTAGCCCATCTTTCAATTGGGTTGCTTCTTGTTTTGGGTCTCTGTTTTTTAAGTTCGTTATATATTCTGGTAATTAAACCTCTATCAGATGTATCGCTGGTGAAGATTTTCTCCCATTCTGTGGGTTTTCTGTTTGTTTCCTTGGTTGTCTCCTTTGAAGGAGTGGACATTTTTAAGGCTCCACCTGCCAAAGCAAGAGTTAAAAATGGTCATTGGAGCTGGGTGTGGTGGCACACGCCTTTAATCGCAGCACACGGGAGGCAGAGGCAGGTGGATCTCTGTGAGTTCAAGGCCAGCCTGGTCTACATAGTGAGTTCCAGGACAGCTGGACCTACAGGGAGACCCTGTCTCAAAAAAAAAGACCAAAAAAAGGCCATTGGGGGGTGTGACTGATTCCATATGTCATTTATACTGTGTGCTAATTACTATGTTGTGGACTATTTTAGTATTTTTGGAAAATGTAGAATAAAATCTAAAACTGAGGGCTGTGGCTCTAGCTTAGTGTTGGAGCACTTGCCTTAGCATGCTAGAGGTCTTGGGTTCCATTCCCACCACTGAAGATATAACCCAGAAAATAGAGGAAGTGAACGAAAGTAGATACTTGAATGCCAATATTCCTTTTTGTTGTGGTTGTTGTTTTTGCTCTTTTTTTTGGAGAGATTCTCATTCTGTAACTCAGGTTGTTCTTATATTATGTAGCCCATGCTGGCTTCAAACCCTGGGCAATCCTCCTGCTTCAGCCAAGCACTGAGGTGTGTGCCATCATGGCAGCCCTGACTGCTACTTTATGTTAATATTGTTCTTGGGAGGGGCTGGAGAGATGGTCCAGCAGTTAAGAGAACGTGTTGCTCTTACAGAGGACCAGGATTCAGTCCCCAGCACCCACACTGAGCAGCTTATAACCACCTGTAACTCCAGCTCCAGAGGATCTGATGCCTTCTTTTGATCTCTGACAGCACCTGCAAACATTTGGTGCACATACATATACTCAGACACACATGTACACATACTATAAAAATAAATAAATTACGGGCCTAGTGTGGTGGCATCAGTCTGTAATTCCAGCACTTGGGAGGCAGAGGCAGGTGGATCTCTATGAGTTTGAGGCCAGCCCGGTCTATATTGAAAGTTCCAGGCCAGCCATAGCTAAATTGTTCTAAGCATAAAACATATCTTGGGAAGACAGATGGCGGCCTCATTTTTGTCAAGGGAAAGGTCAAGCTTGAGAACACCAGAGCAAAACATCCGTACTGGGGTCAGGATCTAAGTGACCCAGATTGTCTGGCATATGGTTTAGGGACCTGTGACTCCCTGTCACCCAAGCTGTCTTTAGAACTCCACTTGCCAGATGTGGAGGCAGGATTTGGATGTGGCTACTAGGCTGTGGCACTGAGCTGGCCCAGCCTTCCTGATCCCACACTGCAGCCCCATGACACTGGAGGACAACCCAGACTTTGGCAAGTAACCTTTATTAAGAACCCCAACCAACCCTGTCCTAGTTTATTTCTTCATTGCTGTGACAAAATACTCTAACCACTATCAACTTGGGGAGCAAAGGGTTTATTTATCTTACATCTCCTGGGTCACAGTTCATCAGGGAGACCAAGGTAGGAACTCAGGGCAGGAACCTGGAGGCAGGAGCTGGAGCACAGGCCATGAAGGAACGCTGCTTACTAGGCTTGCTCCCCCCGGCCCCTGCTCAGCCTGCTTTCTTATGCAACAGAGGCCCACCTTCCCAGGGGTGGCACCACCCACAGTGGGCTGGGCCCTCCCACATCACTCAGCAGAAGATGCCCCATGAACATGGCCACAGGCCAGTCCGATGAAAGCAATTCCCCAACTGAGGCTCTCTCAACCCAGGTGTGTCAAGTTGACACTAAAGCTATCCAGCAAAAACCCCAATTCTACTCTTCCCTCCTGGAGTCTCCCCATCCCCCAAGATGATTGCCTTAGTATGTGACCCACTCCTTGAATGGAAGGATTTTCAGATGGGAATAGAAATATGTTGGGGAGACTCACCCAGCTTTTCCCATTTGCGAATCCCATGTAAGGGGCACTTCTCTAGTCCAGGTTCATGCGTGCACGTGAAGCCCTGGAAACAACCACCTTTGGTGAAGGATGTGCAGGAAGTGCTGAGTGGGCATGGGTCACTAGAGTTGGCTCCCCTCAGGAACAGGGAATGTTCACGTGGCTTTCTTCACCCCTACTGTCAGACCTAGAGTGTTAACCGAGAACACTGTGTGACACTTCTGTGGCCCGAATTCTAGCCCCGCGCCTCCGCGACTCAGAGCCCGCTTTATCAGATGGTGCCATGCCCATAGCCCCGCTAGGATTTGCTCTCGCCTCCAGGGCCAGTGATCTCACCCCAGGTCCACAGAGAGTCAGTCCATTCTGTCTTTGAGTTGCTGTGCTGGCTGCGAGTTTCCTGCACCATCATACTCTACCGGCAGCTCCTGGCTTCCATCCCAAGATGGCTCCCGGCTTCCTTTCCTAGCTCCAGCTCCATGTCAGGCCCCACCCATTGGAGGAACCAGCCAATCGGGAGACACTCCACCCCTTTCCTCCTCTCTTACCAACTTCTGACATCTGGAGCCACATCTGTCTTTGATGTGCAAAACTTCACTGGTTTAAGTAAACTGCAGAAAATAGTAAACAAATGTTTTGCTTTCAGAAGGTTAGACTGTAATTTCAAGGGGATGCAAAAACAGTTGTGCAAAGGTTCTGACTTGAGAATGTGTTCCAAATAGTACTTCTTTGAGCTGTCCACTCCTAGCTATTTTGGGGGTTTTCTTGTTATAAGCTCAGCCTAGGAGAAAATAGGTAGACAAAATATGTATGTAAGATGCCTTATTAGACAAAAGTAGGTTTCGGAGGAACTATAACCCTTGGATCATGTGTGAATGCTGTCAGGCATGGAACCACCTATAAAACTAGGGAAGTAGAGACAGGCAGTTCTTGAGTTCAGGGCCAGCTTGGGTATACATAGCTGTTCAAGACCAGTCTGAGCTCATATAGTGAGATCTTACCGCAAAACACTAACTGCTAAGGGCTTGATAGCATGCTTAACCTAGCATGCATGACGCACTGGGTTCCATTCCTAGCACTGCACAAACCAGGCATGATGGTGTATTTATTAAGTGCCTGCAATATATTTGCACCTTTGATATAGTATGTCCAGGCCTTATGATAATAAAACGCAAATACCTATGCACGTCGAAAGTCATCAGCCTTGAACACTTGTTTTATTTTTGGTCTTTTTGAGACAAGGTCTCCCTGTAGCTTCAGTTAGCCTGGAACACACTATGTAGACCAGGAGACCAGGCTGACCTCGAACTCACAGAGATCCCCGTGCCTCTGCCTCCTGAGTGCTGGAATTAAGAGTGTGCCTCACCACACCCAGCTGAACACTTGTTTTTGAGGACAGGGTCTTGCTATGTGGCCCTGACTGGCCTGCATCTCACAATCCTCCTGCCTCAGCTGAGATTACAGGTATGCACTGCCATGCCCAGCTGGTTTATTTTTATTTTATGAGTGTATGGCCTGCGTGTATGCAAGTGCAACCGTGTTGTGCAATGCCTGTGGAGGGCGTCAAATCCCCTGTAACTAGAGTTACAGATGGTTGTTAGCCACCACGTAGGTGCTGGGAATCAAACCCGGGTCCTCTGCAAGAGCAGCCGTCTCTCCAGCACCTCTATACCAATGTTTTAAAAAGATAGTTACTGGGGCAGGAGAGATGGCTCAGCTGTTAAGAGCACATACTGAAAAAGGGGGGGGGCTGGAAAGATGGCTCAGCAGTTAAGAACACTGACTATTGCAGAAGACCCGGGTTCAAATCCCAGCACCCACATGACAGCTAACAACTCCAGTTCCGGGGATCTGATGGTCTCTTCTGTCCTCCGCGGGCATGGGTGCACTTACCTACATGCAGGCAATACACGCATACACATAAAATAAAAAATAAAATATATTTTTTTTAAAATTTAAAAGATGGTCATGTCGCCCTGCAAGAATATATGGCTTTCATGATCAGCTGGAAAACTGAGAATGTCAAATCCAGCAAGATTGAAAGCGTTTTCCGGGCCCTTAGGTCCAAGGGCAAGCCTTATGTGACCAAGGAGGAACTCTTCCAGAACCTGACCCAGGAGCAAGCTGACTACTGCGTCTCCCACATGAAGCCCTACGTGGATGGCAAGGGCTGAGAACTCCCCACTGCCTTCGACTACATTGAGTTCACCCACTCGCTCTTTGTGAATTGATCCCTGGCTCCTAGGCTAGCCTGACCCGCACCGCCTGCTATGCTGTCACCTCACTGCATGTCAACTCCTCTGTGGTTCAAGAAGAATATTCCAGACAGTGTTACTTCCAGTGTAACTGTAAGCCTGCTTGGGGTGAGACTTAGTAGGAAATGGTGCTTCAGTAAACCGCTTCTGGTCCAGTCACAATCACATGTTGCTGTGGGACCCAGATCCATGTTTAGAGGTGGCCACCCCCATTCCGACTTAGAAAAATCAAAGCAGCTGGCTTGTTCCTTGTCCCCTTCCCTCCCCAGAGTTTGTTTTCACGTGAAAGACAAATAAGACACGACCTAAAAAAAATAAAAATTGAAAGAGCACATACTGCTCTTGCAGAGGACTGGAGCTCTGTTCTCAGCATTCAATTTTGTCAGCTCTCAACGGCCTGAATTCCAGCTCCAGGAGTTCTGACGCCCTCTTCTGGCACTGTACTCACTTAAATGCACAAACCCACACATAGACACATATGTGCACATAATTAAATGAAAATAAGTGGTTAAGAGCACTGACTGTTCTTGTAGAGGACCTGGGTTCAATTCCCAGCACCTACATGGTGGCTAACAACCATCCTAACTCCCCTTCCAGGAGACCTGACATCTTCTTCTGACCTCTGCAGGCATTGTACGACAGGGGTGCACTTACACACATGCAGGCAATACACTCATACACATAAAATAAAAATAGTATTTTTAAAAATGAAAATAAGGGCTGGGTGTGGTAGTACATGCCTTTAATCCCAACACTTAGGAAGCAGAGGCAGGCAGATCTCTGTGAGTTCAAGGCCAGCCAAAGCTACATAGTAAGACCCTGTTTCAAAAAAGAAAGAAAAGAAAATCTTAAAAAAAGAGTTCCATTTATTGAGCACTTGTAATACATTAGCGCTTTTGATATACATGTGCAGACTTACGATAACACATGTACCTATGTACAAGTTTTTTATTTTTACATTTTCAGTTGTTTGCCAGTCTGTAATGCACAGTGAGATCTTGTCAACAAACGAACAATGAGCAAGGGTATCTTTGCCATATCTGTAGCTACTTTCTTTCCTTTTTTTGTCTTTTTTTTTTGTCTTTTTGAGACAGGGTCTCTGTCTTAGTTTGTTCTCTTCATTGCTGTGACAAAATACTCTGACCACTACCAACTTGTGGAGGAGAGGGTTTATTCAGCTTACATCTCCCAGGTCGCAGTTCATCAGGGAGCCCAAGGTAGGAACTCAAGGCAGGAACCTGGAGGCAGGAGCTGGAGCACAGGCCATGGAGGAACACTGCTTACTGGCTTGCTCCCTTGGCCCCTGCTCAGCCTGCTTTCTTATGCAACACAGGCCCACCTGCCCAGGTGTGGCACCACCCACAGTGGGCTGGGCCCTCCCACATCACTCATCAAGAAGATGCCCCTCAGACATGCCCCTCAGGCCAGTCCAATAGAGGAAACTCCCCAACTGAGGCTCCCTCAACCCAGGTGTGTCAAGTTGACACTAAAGCTATCCAGCACAGTCTCCCTGTAGCCCCAGCTGGCCTGGAACTTGCTATGTAGACCAGGCTGGCCTTGAACTCACAGAGATCCACCTGCCTCAGCCTCCAAAGTGCTGGAACTAAAGGCATGTGCCACCAGGCCCGGCGTAGCTACTTTCATCAGTGAAGTGTTGAACCCTTCAAAGTTGTCCAAGAAGGAAAGAATCAACTTCATCCAAGTGACAGGGGAGACTGGCAGAATGAAAGATCCTGAAGACAGACACTTGTCTTCTACAACAACCACATCTGCTTTGAGTTTGTGAGTAGCACAATGAACCTGTCATGCCCAGAAGACAGTTTCATAGCAGTCCTCTTCAACCTCTGGCTCTTACAATCTTTTTGCCCCCCTCTTCCAGAATGTTCCTGAGCCTTGGGGGGAGGGGGGTGATGTAGATGTCCCATGTAGGGCTGAACACTCCACAGTCACTTAGTCTCTGCACTTTGACCAGCTGTGAATCTCTGTGTTAATCACCATCCACTCAAGTAAGAAGCTTCTCTGATGCAGGGTGAGAGCTGCACTAATGGTTCCAGGGGAATTAGAATCCATCATGGTAGGGAAGCATGGCAGCAGAGGTGGCTGGAGTAGGAGTGGAAGCTAAGCACTCACATCTTCAAGCAGGTACAGGAAGCAGAGAGGTGTATATGAAGTTTTAATATTTTTGGCATTAGCTGTTTTTCAGAATCTGGTAACAACTTTGAATCTTCTTTCCTGAGAAATTCACTTATTTACATATGCATACACAGTCTCAGAGGTGGCTCCAGGACAAACTGAAGCCTATTTTTTTTTTTGTCTTTTTGAGACAAGGTCTTCCTGTAGCTCCAGCAGGCCTGGAACTTGTTAGGTAGACCAGGTTGGCCTTGAACTCACAGAGATCCACCTGCCTTTGCGTCTGCCTCATAAATGCTGGGATTAAAGGTGTGCACCATCAGGCCTGGCTGAAGCCTATCTTCTAGCAGTCCACAGACTCCAAGGTAAGAAATAATGCCCTATAAACATTTCCTTTGCTGACTTTTTGTTGTTTTGAAACAGGATCTTACACTGTAGCTCAGGCTGGTCTAGAATGCACCATGTCGTTTACACTAGCCTTTAAATCATGGTAGTCCTCTTGTCTAAATTTTCCAAAGTGCTGGAATTAGAGGTGTGAGCCCCTACACCTGGCTTAGCCTCTCTTCTATGGTGCTAGGGGACAGAGACTGGAGGGGTCTATCCCTTTCTTTCTCTTCTGAGAGAAATAAAGTATTGGCTCCCTAAATTATCTACCTCTGAACACTCTTTCTTGTACATAGGACTACAAGGGAAGACTGCAGACAATCAAATGTGTGGTTGTAGGAGATGAGGCTGTAAGTGAGCCCTGCCTCATCAGTTACACATCAAGTACCTTTTCCAGTATAAACCCACTGCCTTTAACCACTATAGCTCCCAGACATCTGTGGATGGCCGCTAGATTGTCAGCCTGAATCTGGGGGACTGTGCTGGCCAAGAAGATAACTGGCTACCAACTGGCTATCCCAGTTTTTACAGTCTATGATGGTCATACGTTCAGTTTTGAATGAGTTTTGAATCAAGCAAAAGTAACAGAACTAGCAGGTAGCAGATAGATAATAGCAGCAGATGGATAGCAAAACATCATTAAATCAGGTATGCACAACATCCAACAGAGACAACTGGAATAGCTTGAGAGAGCCA